TGTCATTTACCTTTTAAAAGCAGCAGCATACTTTATTGCGGTCATAGACCAAAAAAATCAAAACATCCAAGACACATAGTGGCACACGACCAGATTGAAGTACAAAACGACAACAAGATCAGTGGTGGAAACCACTCCGTCAAACTCACAGTTCATGTACTTTAAATTTTTAGCTCCAATCTATATGGACTCTAGTCGATTAAAATTGTACATAGGTAGAAAATACTATATTGCAATTTGCATAAAATCCCCACATCGGCACTTTATACAACCACCAGCTAACTCAACCGCTGGCGATCAATAAAGCTAACCTCAGTCAATGGGTCCAGCCCATCCCTTCCCCCGGCTCTTACATCCCAAGACTGCAGCAAAAAAATTTGCTACCTTTAGTGTAATCTTAGAATCAGTATCTTGAAGTAAGAATGGAAGACTATGATTTTCAGATAATCCAGGAAATCTTTGGCAAATGGGAGAGATAATTTCTGACCTTACCTCCCGATAATGGGGGCATGTAAATATGATGTGAGCCAACGATTCCGGAGATCGGCCATCACATGAACAGTGGGTGGATTTCACACACCCTGAGCACCTGCTATCTAGGACATTCGAGGGGATCACATTAAAACGTGCCTTTAGAAAGACCAACCTGTATTTAACAAAGGATAGCATAGAGAGATATTTGGGGGGGATACCTTTTAAAAGTTTCAGAGCTCTTTGACATGGGATTATCTTTTTTTTCCCAGTGGATATGTAAAAAAAAAAAAAAAGTTAATTGTTCGCTACCATCACTACTATAAAACCATAGGATTTCCCACCCACCTGTAAGCCAGTATTTCCCTCTTGGTTTTTACTGGTTGCATAGTGACTAATTTTTTTTTTAAAAAAAAAACCAGTCTGGAGTACCGCTTCCCCTTGACACTGAAAGAATGAATGGCACATAAACTCAAAGAATTGGGAGCAGGTCCCCCTCTTATGCCCCAACATCCATCCAAAAAATACATCCTATCACACCATTGACAGTTCTGTGTGGATCAGCTAAACAGATTTGTGTTTTGTCATCAAAGCTAAATAATGGTATGATCTGAAGTATTGCTCCTACATTCAAGTGTAAATCTGTATCTGCTGATCACATCACTGTGTTTATAAATGCAGAGACTATTTTCATTCTTCTGCTCTAACAGTAGCCATCAGTGTGCTTTGGAGCAGGGGTCTCCAACCTTGGCAACTTTAAGACTTGTGGACTTCAACTCCCAGAATTCCTCAGCTAGCTTGGCTGAGGAATTCTAGGAGTTGAAGTCTACAAGTCTTAAAGTTGCCAAGGTTGGAGACCCTTGCTCCAAAGCACACCTTGTTGAATCAAGGGGTCTAACCTTTCTGCCAGCTTTTAAAGCTAATAATAGTATTAGCTTTTGAAGGTTAATATCAGTAATAATTGGTTTAAATCATTTCTAAGTGTTGATTGCAATTCTTTATAATCTTGATGTTAGCTTGATGTTTTCCTATAAATCAGTGAGTCCTCAGTAGTTAATGACATAATTAATAAATTAATCCATTTCTCATTTGTTTGAAGTTATACAAACAAGTTTGACTGTACAAAATACCATTAGACAGTGTAGACCATCAAAATAGCCTTTAGCACAATAAAATACATTTAAAGATATGATGTTAGCCCTAAAAGATCTCTCAGGCTGACAAGAATTTTCACATTCTAAGAGAAAAATATTTTCTGCAAGGAGCTAAGGTGTTGCCAACCTTTTACAGCCCATGGCAAGTTTATGCGCACGCAATCTTTCCATCACATTTTCCTTCATTTTGTGAATGAAAAGCAAATAAGATGATTCCTTGGAGGTATGTGCATAATATACTAAAATACACTGCTTTTAAATTATTTTTTAAGACAAAACTTATACAGCGGCACTTGGAGAATGGTATAATCTGAAAGATAACTGTGCCCTGATCCATAGATGGATCTCGGAAGTTGAAATAAGAGCAGTATAATTAAAAATATGGACCAAACAAATTTTTCATTATTGGTAGTCATGGATTCCCTATTTTAAGTCACGGGAAATCATCCACTAGTTAGTGCACTGGAGGAATCCCTGAGAGATAAAATTGAATGCACATGGAAAATTTAACAAGGTTGTTCTGACAGAAAAGCATTTACTATAATCCAAGCCAATTAGTGACCTCACTGCCAGATAATAGGATCAGGCTTGCAACAGCTGTGTTTTGCAAAAATTGTATTTTAACATTGCATGTAATTCTCAAATCCTTCATTTCAAAGTTGTCTCATTTGTTTAAATAACTGCAGAATTAATGGCTTCAAAATGTGAAATCATTTCTGTTCTTTGGTTGAATAAATATATTTTATAACAAGGAGGCTGTTGTGAATGTTTGCATCTACAAATATGAATAACTTTGCAAATTGACATTGGAGCTGTGCTCTGGATTCTGTCCAATTACATTCCTATTTCATACCTTTTCACATTCATGAAAGGTTAGTTGCCTATTGACCGGCTTTGCCTCAACCAATATTAAGGGAGACTTGTTAGCTGACCCACTATCTTTCAGGCTGAACTGTAACAATTATTTATGTCCTGTTCTATGGCAAAGGAACTGAATTCTTAAAGTTGGAGCCTTGCAAGATTTTTGTTGTAGTTTATGTTCTCTGACAGCAGTTACTTAATGTGAAGTGAATTAATTACACTACTGCAAATTGCAGAATATAATGATTGGGTTTAAGGTTTTGAATTATTTATTTTTAAATGTCATGTAGTAGCAATACTAGGGAATTGAAGTATCTTGGAGCTAAATACATCCTTCTTGCATGTTTCACCTCTTCTTTTCTCTTCCTCTTATCTTCCCCCTCTTGCTGTGTTTATTTATTTCATAGCAAATGTGGTATTTCTCTTCCACCCCATCTGCAGCATTGCCACTATTTTCTCTCCACCCCCCCCCCCCCCCCATGATTTAAAAGAGTTTGAGAACACTGCTAAACAAAGCAGCAGTTGCACCTCTCATGTCTGTTTCTCAAAGAGTCTTGGATAGTAAAAACACCAAAGACAGAAACAGACATCTGCTGTGTTAAAGGGTTTTGTGATGTTGAATTTTGAGACTGACTACAGCAGAGGTCTTTAAACTTGGCCGCTTTAAGACTTATGGACTTCAGCTATGCTGGCTGGAGAATTCTGGGAGTTGAAGTCCACAAGTCTTAAAGCGGCCAAGTTTGAAGATCTCTGGACTACAGAGTTACTGGTTTACACTCAGGTCACACTAGAGCAGGGATTCATGTAAACTGTAGGTAAATGAGTTGATCTAGGTTGCTATAAAAACAATAGCAACAACAGGAACTGATCTGGCTGATATTTAGATGTGAAAATATCAGGAAATTCTAGGATTGTAGGCTTGCTAAGGAAGATTTTTTTAAAAAAAAATTATAATTTTATTAAAACACATATTTGACATTTACACAACATACAACATATAAATATCTTATCATTTTTAAGCATTGTTTCATAGTGGTCTTCCATTTGTTATTTTATTCTTCTTCCCCTATATCTTAGTCTAAAACTCCTTCTTCTTCCCCTTGTTTTCCTCTTTTATTCCCCCCTTCCCTTCCCCCTATGGAGTTCTATATATTTTCATTATATCTTTAATATTATACATTTCTACATTCCTGCTATATACATTTTTATTCCTCTCCATACATTTGTTATATGTATATATTGTACTTCTAATCTTCTCTCTCTATCATTATTGTTCTTTTTTTCTAGTCTCGAGCCATTTATACCATTTATTCCATATTCTATAATAATCTTTCTCTTCTTTTTCCTTAATTTCTTTTGTTAATCTGTCCATCTCCGGGCATTCTAAAATCTTATCTATCAGTTCATCCTCTGTTGGGATTCTTTCCTGTTTCCAATTTTTTGCATATGTTGCTAAGGAAGATTTTTTAAAAGTAGGCAGTGACTAACCACTTCCATGTCCTAGCTTTTAAAACTAACTGGATCTTTCCATGGATTAAGCAGGAGTCAAGCTCAACTTTAAAGGTGGACTTTATTTTGCCATTGTGAACTTTTATTTCTAGACTGAGGGGTATGGCATGTTGTCATTCAGAGAAAGCATTGAGTGAATAGTAGTATGACAAAGCTTCTTAGAGGAGGGATGCATAAGGGAGGGAGAAGAACAGCAAGAAAGGGCAGGATCTTATATGTAAGTTACAATAGGTACTTATTATGTAGTATGTAATTACTTAGGTTGTGAGAAATAATGAAATTGCATAGACATCAAGATGTGGACATCAGTTCTGAGGTCCTGCTCAGTTTCTGGAAATGCATGAATCTTTGTCACAAAAAAAATTACATTTGTTATTTTAATTTCTTTTAGCTCTGCTTTGTGTGTTGTTACAATTTACATAGAAAAGACGTTAAAAGCCTGTCATTTGCCCCTACTCTCCTTTAGCAGCCGTCTATACTGCTGAATAATCATACAGTCCTAACCCTCAGACTACCACCTCACTGGCTCCTCAAGGTAAGGGAAGATGCCAGATCCCCTCATAATAATCTACACCTATGGAGGATCTTCCTTCCCAGACTTCACCCATCTTCAATATTCAACACATGTCTAAATGATCAAAGCCCAAAGCAGGAGCTCCTCAATCTGCATATCTAAACATCTAATATCAAAGCTTGTTTGTTATTTTATATACCTCTGGTGGTAGACCCCTAAGAGGTAGACTTCTATCAACCATTGTACATGGTTGAATGAATAAACTCTTATTTCTAGCAGCCCATTGGTGTTTATTGTATACTATATGTTTATTCATGACCCAACTCTGAAAATTGGACCAAATTAATTCTTCTAACAGTGTAAAAAATCATTTTCTCAGAAGACAAAAAAGGGTTTTCTTAAGGATCAATTAGTAAAAAAAAAAACTGAGGATATTTTAATTGTTCGGATAAATATTTAATGCTTTGCATTCTTTTTGTTGTTTCTAATAGATGACACGGGAACAGTATATACTAGCAACACAGCAAAACAGTCTGCCAAGAACAGAAAATCCTCAACTTTATCCAGTAGGGATTTATGGCTGGCGAAAGAGGTGCTTATACTTCTTTGTCCTCTTGCTATTGGTTACCATGATCGTTAATTTAGCCATGACAATATGGATCCTGAAAGTAATGAATTTCACAGTGGTAAGTAGCACTTTCTGGAGTGGAAAGTATGTGGCTTATAAATGTTAAAGGGATTTGATATGATTATTTAGTGTTATCTTTCAATTTTCAAACAGCTTTGAGGATTTGGGGCGTAAAACAATGGTGGAATAAAGTGTCATTTGCCTTTTGTTAACTGAATGTTCATATATATAACTCTTAATTATTAAGCACAGAACTAATTGATTCTGATTCTCAACATAGAACATAATACTTTTATTTCTGAGGCAATCTGGCTGACCATTGCTAATAGATGCTATGCCCATCTAGCTCCAATAAGTATCCATTATTAATTCTTGTAGTTTGTAAGAAAATATCAAGACAGTTATTTCAGAACTTTCAACAATGACAATTCTGGCTGGAATGTAGGAACTGAATCCCCAAAAGGGAAGTGATTGGCTTGAATTAATGGCATCCTTTCTGGCCTCAATAGTAGAGTTACCACAAGGTCGATGGCTCTGGAAAGGTTCTCCAGAATACTTTGATTATCAAAAGAAGACCTGATAGAAAGAGTAATGCCTACTGCTCTGATTAAAAAAAGGAATGGCCCAAGAAAAAATATGTGCCTCTGGCAATTTTTGATGCAGATGCCTTTTGCTACATCTGCCACTTTTTCCAAGACTCAGAAATCATTTTGAAATTGACTGAATTAGCAGAGGTGGTGAAATTAACTGCTTTGATTAGAGATAATGGACAAGATAGCTTTATAAGAGACTGGAAACTGTTTGTGGACTTTCTACAAGCTAAATATGATATGAGATGGTTAATAGAGGAATTTGAAGATTAGTGTAATGTTTAGCCTAACCTGTTAACTGTTTTTTCTTCTTTCTTTGTGTGTGTGTGTGTGTAAAAGGGAAGGAGAATTTACTGCTATTTCTTTTTTTCAGCACCCAGCCAGGAGGGATTCTAGATGTTAAATATTAAATTTATTTGATCACTTTTTCCTCTTTTTTGTACACTATTTTTTTCCTTTGTTGTTGTTGTTGTTGTTGTTGTTGTTGTTGTTAAGGTTGAATGTATGCTTTTGCTTTGTTTCATTTTGTTTGTTTGTTTGCTTGCTTGTTTTATATTTTACTCTTTCTAATAAAACAATAAATAATATTTTTTTTAAAAGAAATCACAAGGAAGAGTTATTGGGGAGTGCCTGTGTAATCTTAGTTTTGCAAAAAGTTATCTTTGGATCCTTTTTAAAATGAATTTTTAAAATTAGATTTATTTCCTGTTTCTAGTAGAATCTCAGCATACCCGGTAATCGTGTAAGAGACTATTTAAGGCACTCTACTTTTTTTCACACTGATGTCCATGTCTCAGTCTTTTTTCTAGTACACAAGCATATGAATTTGATTGAAAAAAGAAACAATTCCCTAAAGTCAATGCTTTTGACCCCTTAGCTTGACCACAGTATTTGTTTTAAGCAAGTACTAAGCCCATTGAACTTGCAATTGAGAATAGGGTTAGGGTTATGCAACACTGCAGATTAGGATTTATATTTGCCATTAAACCTAACTAACCACATGAATTGCTGTGGTACTTTGGCTAGAATTACTTGTTTGCCCTTTGAATGGTAGTTCATGACACAAAGCCCACAAGAGCTATTGGAACTCTATTGTTCAAAGTATAGTATAGAATCTGGATCTCTTTCTCACACACACACATGACCCCCACCCCCTCACCCCAGCCATGCCTACCCAGGTTTTATGGCTTCTGTTGTTTTCTTTTCTGTGGGAAATGGGTCTCTCTCCCTCCCCCCCTCCCCCCCTCACTGTCTCTCTCTCTCTCACACACACACACACATACACACCTCTTACTCTAAAAAGAATACCCTAAAAAAACATAAAGGAAGGTTTGGAAACTAGACCAAAATTGTCCAGAATGGAGGGAAATCTGTCTATAAAACATTTCAGATCATTATTTAAGGTAGGCTTTTTCCGCATGATAACAGGCAAGCAAAGGACTAGAAAACATGAAATGTTCTCTCATATTTTAATGTCACATGGATGTATGAGAAGAAAAGAATCTTATTTGCCATAGCCGTAAATGTTGTATATAAATATATTCATGACTTGTAAATAGTAAGAACCAGAAAGTTCAACTTTCTTGTAACAAGTTACGGTGGTGGGAACACTAGAAAACCCTTTAGCCCGCCATTAAAGACATGAACATTAAAACAATAGTATATTGCAGATTCACCTTGGGAATATATCTGAGTTGAAAACATATAGGAATCGCGCTTTAGCTTGGAATGAAAAATTGCAATGATAGTAAAGCTCTTAGGAAATTCTTAATGCAACCAGTGTAGAGGCAAAAGAAAAAGAAAATGTTGGAAAGAATATACAAGGGCCATTAGCAGGTAAAAGAGAAAATAACCAACCTCTTAGCCCTTGGAAAAGAGATAATATGGAAAACTGAAGATAATTTCATCTAGATCTGTCTGGTATAAAAGGGGCAGAGGGAAATTCTGGCAGGCCTTCAAGGTTCTGTTATTAAACCTGACCGGAATACAGTGGAGTGTAGCAGGTTATATTTTCTGACTTACAGTAGCCTACCTGGAAGGGCTGGCCACTTGTAATAATGTAGATATTCGTGATAATTGTGGTCTGAGGATTGTTACAGAATTGGAGAGATAAGCAAAAGTGGACAAAGTCCTGTGTCAGTTGTGCTGATGGTCACATATCTAGAGTTTATTTTGTTTAAGGGACCCTAAACCAACTTTAGGAAAATAGTGCTGGGAATGTCTTGATGGCTGTACATTACCTCCAGAATCAAAGGCAGTTTGCCTTTAGTTCCTGTTGCTAGGGAGAAACATAAAAGAGGCTATTGCTTTTATGTCCCGCTCGGGTTTCTTACATGCATCTGAGTGATCACTGCTTGATTGAAAATTTTCAACAAGATAGCCCTTTGAGCTGATTAGCAATTCTTAAGTATTTCAAAGAGTATGGAAATTCCTAATTTTCTTTGGTCCACTTTCACAAATATGCATAGACACATATATTTTCCTACAGCAGTTGAAGTTTATTTCATATCTGATTCTGAACACGTGGGTTTGAAAATGCTAGTTATATTCATCTCTCTTGAAAGATCCTGAGATCTAACATATTTTATGGTATTGAATATTTTTCTGAGTTGTTTTATCTGTTGTTTACAAAGCCATGCATTATTAATGTATTTTATTGTTACTGCCAAAGATCCACCTTTACACATGATACTTCCCAAACCTGTTATTGCTTGAATAGCGACTTTCGTGGACAATCCTAGAGATCTTCTATTTCAAATCTCATAATATTTATTTTTCAAAATGGATTAGAGACATGTAATGCACTTGAAACACTGAGGGATCCATTAAAGGGAGAGAGTGACTTACAGAGAGTAGAATGGAGAGAGAAGGACTGAGAACAAACTGATCTATTTCACAGACTCTGGTATTTATAACAAGTAAACATTTAAAATAACCCCCTACTTATATTTTAATGACAATGTGATACCCTATTACATACTAATATACTCATGCCCCTCACAAATCTTTTTTTCAGGTTCATATTCCTTCAGTGGACTTTTTTTTTTTTAAAAAAAAAGAGAGAGATAGTAGCTCTCTAATATAAAGGCACATTTGGCTACAAAGGCTTTCTTCTTCTCGGAATCAGACACTGAGACAGAAAACAGTCAAACAAACAAAAAAGGCAGATTAAAGAAACAACAATGTTTGCATTACACCAAACATATTTTCGCATTTTAATTGTTGCTAAGCAGTTTAAGATGGCTTTGTTCTCTCTTCCATATGTTTTAGCACCTTTGTAATAGCTGTTTTTTTTCCTATCCACTTATCCAAATGAAGTTTTCTTGGGATGATTGGAAAACCAAAACATGGATGATGGGGACTAAAAAGCATTGCTCCAATGTACCAGTAAGGATGGATATGATCCACTCCCTTTAGTGTTTTTCCTGAAGAATAGTTATTTTGACCATAGGCACTTTGATCATGTGGCCTGCCTACACAAAAACACACAGACAGACACCAATTGAGACAAATGCATATCATAAGGACTTTTTAACTGATGTTGTTATTGTTGTTAGTTACGAAGTCGTGTCTGACCCATCGCGACCCCATGGACAATGTTCCTCCAGGCCTTCCTGTCCTCTACCATCCTCTGGAGTTCATTTAAGAACATGCCTACTGCTTCAGTGACTCCATCCAGCCACCTCATTCTCTGTTGTCCCCTCCTTTTTTTGCCTCAATTTTTCCCAGCATTAGGCTCTTCTCCAGTGAGTCCTTCCTTCTCAGTAAGTGGCCAAAATATTTGAGTTTCATCTTCAGGATCTGGCCTTCTAAAGAGCAGTCAGGGTTGATCTCCTCTAGGACTGACCAGTTTGATCGCCTTGCAGACCAAGGGACTTACAGGAGTCTTCTCCAGCGCCATAGTTCAAAGGCCTCAATTCTTTGGCACTCAGCCTTTCTTATGGTCCAACTTTCACAGCCATACATTGCAACTGGGAAAACCATAGCCTTGACTATACACACTTTTGTTGGAAGGGTGATGTCTCTACTTTTTAGTATGCTGTCTAGATTTGCCATAGCTTTATTCCCTATGAGCAAGCATCTTTTAATATCTTGGCTGCAGTCCCCATCTGTGGTGATCTCGGAGCCCAGGAAAATAAAATCTGTGACTACCTCCATTTCTTCCCCATCTATTTATCAGGAATTGAGAGGGCCGGATGCCATAATCTTAGTTTTCTTAATGTTTTAACTGATACTTTTGGTCAAAACGAGCTGATTCTTTTGAATCTGGTTCTCCAAAATTCCCTATGTTACATCTTATCTTGTATTGAAATAAAAGTTTCCATAATTGTTGTAATGGAGGACCAGACAAAGGTTTTCTTCTGCATGTATGTGCAGGGAGGATATTGTTTGCTTTTAAAGTAAGTTTCTTTCACTGGCTTAAAGAGTTGTTCTAAATTTGGTTTGAAAGTTTGTACTTTTGTCGTCA